CATCTTATTAGTTTATTGTTCAGTAGAAAATCATAAATTTTCCCTCCAAAAACTATTAGCCTGTTAGCACGTAAGCATGTTAGCTTATTAGCACGTTAGCTCACCTGCAGACACACAAGGGGGGGTGGGTTTATTTACACAGTTAGTACAAATATAAAACACATTTTATTCAGTTTTATTATTGGAATTATTTTTCCCTCCATATCTTTGAGTTCAAAATGAAAGCAAAACTGTTAGCTCCTTAGCCTGTTAGCACGTAAGCCTGTTAGCACGTAAGCCTGTTAGCTCTTTAGCCTGTTAGCCCGTAAGCCTGTTAGCACGTAAGCCTGTTAGCTCTTTAGCCTGTTAGCCCGTTAGCTCCTTAGCCTGTTAGCCCGTAAGCCTGTTAGCACGTTAGCACGTAAGCCTGTTAGCTCTTTAGCCTGTTAGCCCGTTAGCTCCTTAGCCTGTTAGCCCGTTAGCAGGTAAGCCTGTTAGCCCGTAAGCCTGTTAGCACGTAAGCCTGTTAGCACGTAAGCCTGTTAGCACGTTAGCTCACCCGGTTGTCGTAGACCTTCTTCAGCGCCTCGTATCGGATGGAGCCCTGGAAGATGACTCCCTGGAAGGTGTTGCTCTTATCGCTCGCAACCAGCTCCACACACACCATCTCCCCCTCGCCCACCGTCATGTCGCTGAACACCTGTACACACGCACGCACGCACGCACACGCACACACACACACCAGAACTTTACTTTTTCTTCCTAATTTCACTTTTTCCCCAAATGTTATTTATTTTTTTCCCCATTTTTCTTTTTATTTATTTATTAATTTTCTTTTTTCAAATTGTCATTTATTTTTCTCCAATCATTTTTTAAATTTCATTTTTTCATAGAATTGGATTTTTTTCTTCAAAATTAGAAATAAGTTCGAAACAAAACAAAAATTTCACTTTTTTTCCAAACTTCTTTTTCTCATGATTTAAATCATTCCGAGATGTTCACTTTTTTCTCAGAATTGTATTTATTTTTCAGACTGGTCTCTGGGAAATATATGAAAATACTAACAAACACCTGAACAGAATTGAATATAACTCGTGGTCACCTCCTCGAAGTTGTCGATCATGAAGAAGATGTTGGGGTAGCTCATCTTGGACTCCTCTCCTTTGCTGTCCATGGCGTGTTTGCTGGGAGACGCAAACACCTCCTGTGGAGAAACATCATTATTTTATATTAATGAGTGAATAAAGTCCGATAAAGGTCATTATTGAAGAGTTCAGACCTGGCATTTCTTCTTGTGGATGTGGATGTCTCCAGCGTCTGAGCGCGTGCAGACCGCACACGTCACCACGTAATCCAACTGTAAACATTATCATAAAATCAGTGAACGAATATCAATATCCATCTTCTTCTAGAATACAGTCATCTTCTGCCCTTCTTTGTTCACTTGCTATCTTGTTTCTGCTTTGTCTCGTGTGTTACCGTCAAAGTGTCATTTATATTAAAAACTGAAGTTAAATGATTTTTGTAACTTAAAAAAAGTACATGTCTATACGTTTATAG